GCGGAGGCAGCGTCTTGGAGCTCTATTCCAAGACCAGACATGCACGCACATCTGCGTACACATGCACTTACACACACGTGCACAGATACGCTTTTGAAGGAGGTTAGGCACTGTGCTTTGACGCAGTTGTGTTTTAAGCCTGTTTTCGCTAGCATCTGTGTGGTTTTCCTTTTTTGACTTCTGTGTTAGGCTTAGAGTGAAATGTAGTGAGGACTGGTACAATTCCCCTGCTACACCCATGGGAACCGGAGGGAAACTTCATCAGCGTGTTGCACTGCACAGAGATGTTCTGCTGAGGGGTGATGCGAATCTTGCCCACTACAGTGGATCCTTTGTACATTAAGCAAAATCTAAATTTCCCAAAAATATTTTCATCGTGGAGGTGTCAGCAAGCTGCCACGTGAGACACAGAGGAGGTCACGTTTAATTTCCATGAGCTCTGGAACCCCTCTGACTGACTGCAGTAGGACCTAGCTCAGGCTGGGAGTCAGCAAGCCCATGATGATGGTGTTTCATCTGCTTTCTCTGTTCTTGGTGTGTCAGGCTCTTTAGTAGAACAGTGGAAGTTGCTGTAGTGGAGTTCCTGGAGAACCATGTTTCTCCTCCTAACTGGAGGACCTGCAGCCTAATTCTAAACTGGGGGGAGTAAAAATGGGCTTAGGAGTATGCAAACGTATCCCAGTCCCCTTCACTCTGTGTCCATGTTGCTGGGTCTTAGCCTGGCAATCACCGAGACTTGAGGTGAGACTCATCTCACCCAGCATTAGTTGTATGCGGTGCCTGGTTTTGCTGATCTTTTTTAGGTGTTTACTTTTGGGTGGAATGATCCATGCCAAGTACACGCATGTTTTTGTCAAGTACATATTTAAGGTCTTCAGGGTGACTAGGTCAGATATGAGTGTCAACAATTTGAATGTGTTTATGTGACTGAGTAAATTCTACTGAAAGGCTGTTTCCATACTGATAAATGCAACATGCCTGATGCTCTTAGCCTTGAGGCCAACTGGGGTGGAGAGGCTTGCTTCCACGCAACGGCTGTCTCGCCCTCCAAAACAGTATGGCTCTAT